TCCCTGTGGGGGTACAGTCACTTCGCCCGAACTCCTTCGCCTGATTACCAGTTCGCCCAATTACCGGTTCGCCCAATTACCAGTTCGCCCGTTTTCCTTTTCGCCCGATTTATCGATGTTACACAGTAGGCCTACTAGGGGTTTCGATACGAAATGTACATCTGGTAAAATGCATAAAATCTATCATATGATCGCATTTTAGTCAGGGTTTTCTTGCCGATGCGAACACTGCAACTGATGTCCGCCATTGCGGGTAGTCATCCCATTCATAATAGAGGGGTGGCCGACAGGCATAGGGACAGGTATGCATCGGCCGTCATACACAGATTTTTCACTTGTTTCACCATCGGTGTTTGAATAAAATACTTTCACAGTGATGTCGTTGGCAGAATAATTTCAATCCGCGCATTTTATGCAAAGATTGACCATTGACGGAAGCTTTGTACGCCCTCCGGTGTTGGGAACTTGAAACACATTATATACAACAATGTATACAAGTAGTATAGTATTAGGGCCAGAATTACACTAATTTATTTTAAATTTCGACTATACTTTTAAATTGAAATAGAAACACAACATTGTATATAATTAATATAGTATTAGAGCCTGATTTAACTTAGGTGTCCTGATGTGATTGGAAGTATATTAAAATTTTGCTAAAGCAGTTTTAATTTATTCGCCATAACTATTTTCAAATATTTTGTCTGGAAGTTTGTTTCTAGGTTGAGTTTTATTTTTTTCAATACATTTTATCACTGAATAATAAAATTATTATTACATTATAAATTACATCTTTGATTCTTTTTTTAAATATAATGTAATAAACATTATATTTAAAAAAAGAATCAAAGATGTAATTTTTCAATTTGTATTTCAATTTCTACGTAGACATTCCATATGTAATACATGTACTAATATATATATTTTTGGTATTTGTGATTTTTTATATTGCTCGATTGTATTAGCACCTGGTGTGCTACTTTATTTTTATTCGAGGGTAAGTAAATAAATGTAATGTAAATGTAAATTATGCATTATATCTTTACTTTCATTGCTCCCCCTTCCAGGAAACAAAAAGTTCATGCAATATTGGAAGTGAAACTGGGGAAAACAAACACAATACTAGTAAAATATTTCAAAAGTTTTTCCTCAACTCAATTTGTTGAATTGTTGTAGCTCTGTGTTTTACTGTGTCAAGTTACCAAAAAATGCTAATATTAAAGGAAAAATAAAGTTTTATCAGATTGGAATTACATTAAAAACAGAGGTTTACATTCTTATACAAATAATTGTGTTTTTAAAGGGTCACAGTGCATTTAACTAAAGGAACTACCACCATCAAACAAAAAGGTGTGACTGTCCCTCAACTCATTGTTTCCTCCCGATACACAAATGGTATGACCCACACAAGATAGCCACAACGGCATAAAATTACGTTACAACCCCGTTATAAACTTCACGTTCGTCACCTTATAAAAACAAATTTTGACTTCTACGTTATCTTGTTTTGACTACACGCAAATACCAAACATACGAGGAATCAGGCGAAATGGCAATTGGGTGAAATGGCAATCGGGCGAAATGGCAACCGGGCGAAATGGTAATCGGGCGAAACCGTTCGGGCGAAGTGGTAATTGGGCGAAATGCCCCCAATTCACACGTTCGGATGATAGATGCCCCACCGAACGCGTCCCCGTACACACAGCACTGTACCCCACTGTACCCCACTGTACGCAGGGCTTAGCCCTGAGTACAGTCCTGTAGGTTGGTCCATTTTGTCATTTACCACATTCATGGCACTCAAATATTCATTTGCATCTTCTAATTATCATGCTTGCGCCACATACAGCAAATCGTACTTGGAATCAGACGGGCTCAACTATGTAATTGGATTTTTTAGTACCCGTTCAGACGCAGTCCGAAAACAGGGACTTATGTTTTGACCTCCGTGTGTCAGTGCGTGCGTGTATGCATGAGTGCATGAGTGCGTGTGACCGGACCTGTATCTTAGAAATGCCTGGACAAATCACAATCAAACTTCACACATATATCATACATGATATTATACATATGCACGTCAATTTGTTTCACGATCTGATTCAAGATGGCCGAATGGCGGCCATTTTTGTGCTAAAAATCATCATAATCAAGCATTTCTCGGCTGTTTACAGATGGATTTTGTTCAAACTTGGTATATACATTAGACATTATGGGATTTTTATTTTGTTTTTCAGATAAGATTTAAAAGGGTCGACTGGCAGCCATTTTGTTTGAATTAATGTGGTTCACATGCCATATCTTTGACTTGCTTTCACTGATTATGTTCAAATTTTAAATATTCATTATACA